GACGGAGAAAAGCTTAGCACCTTTTCACCGGAATCGAAGGAGATTGCCTCGGAAACAGCGTCAGCATGAAGGTTCCTGTGAAGCCAATCGACAGCTGGTCAAGAGGGATCCGTCGTCGTCTTCTGGTGAAACTAACCTTTGAATCTCTTTACCCAACACTTCTACTCGAAATGGAAGTAAGCTCAACAATACCATCTTAGACTCAGGGTCACCGAAAAGCTAGATATGGCTTTATATAACTTATTAAAATAATGAAAGGAAGTTTTGATAAGTCCCTTGTTCTATATCTCTTTGCTTTCAGAACATTCAAAATATATTTGATACAGAAAAAGAAATTGAGGACTTAAAACAGGCTATCCAGAATGAGGAGAGTTACCTTAAAACTGCAACTAGCCGACTAAACGTGCGCCTACGACGTCCGGGATTGGAACTCTGTCTTGATCCAGCGGAAATGCAGTGAGTATTTGTATTACTTGTAACTCAAAAAACTGTAACTTGATAAGTGCTTATCCATAAATTAATTACGTTTCCTCATTTAAAGTTAGATGGTTTTCCGTGAACATATAATGATCATAATATTCCAAAACATCAAAAAGGGCACAATTTAGTCAACCAATAAAACATAAAACCCATCTATTCTACTCTGCTCCAGATGGTCCTTGAAACAAGTTTATCTAACTTCATTTTCGAGCTGGGTTTTACCACAATGCTATGAATGGGCTTCACAATGCCATTTCATTTAGCCTTATATTCTATAAAGTATTTTCATACAGGACGAACTTAATTTTTGACCATGCCTGAGTTAGATCAGTTCCCTCAACGGGACTTGAACCCAAGTAGTTCAGTGTATATTTTTGAAATGATGCAATCACTTTTTCGTTTTTAGTAAGTTTTCGAGTCTACCAGTAAGTCATGTTGTCGAATGCTATAGAAAATATAAGTGTATTTCATCTATAATCCTACCACAAAATGTGATATGAGAAAATGTCTGGCCTTACATACAATTTATATCTGCCCTGGGACCAAATAGCCTTATTGGTAATGTGGCGTAATGGGTAGCGTGTCGAGAGCATACGCTACACTGTCATGGTTCGAGCCTCGCTGGGGGTGCTGATGCGACCAGTTGAGGCGAGGTCGAGATGTAGCCTGCCTTGGATAGGAATAACTCTTGGTAAGCAAGGCTATGTGAAATTCAATAGAAGCATAGGGTCTACTCATAGCATTGTGGGAAAATTCGACTTTCAGACTTTCGTCATCTTAAACAAAATAAGGTGTATCCAGATGTATATAACTACTCCGCCACACTGCCACTAGTGCCAGTTGGTCAGAAGGAAAAGGTTATTCATATATGAGATATATTCATCCTATTTCGTTTAAGCTGATAAAGGTAGTCTCGAAAATCTGCTTATAAAAGAAAAAAAAGGTTAATTATATTTCCTGAAGAATTTCGCTTCTTTCAGCCTAAACTCAAATTTATCACCCTTCCCTTGGTCAGGCTTAAGGCTGAGGTTCATCAGATCAATGAGTCCATCAGCCGGTTGAAAGAGCAGCTGGGCAAGTCGCAAGACGTACTTCAGAGATTACTCCGCCTATTAACAGCCAAGGAGACCGAGCTGGCTATCAAAAATCACAGCCTTTTTCTGGATCGTGAAAAGTGCCTCAGTAGACGCTCCTGCTGGCCGGGAGGACCAACTGTCAATGCGGCTCATACTATGCCTTGTTCTGGTGGATCATCTTCCTCCACCACAGCAAGGAACAGTTAACTGTAGCCTTGTTTTAGGCAGCTCTATATGATGACGGGAGAAGACATGGCAACCAATTTGTATGTATTCATTATTTTACCTCCTATGGCACGGTTCACTGGTCCCCTATATCCTTTCTTTTTGCTTCTTAGAATATGTACTTCTTACGCTTCATTTTCTAGTAGCTTTCCATGCCAATATTCTTTAGCCTGGTAAAGTTCTAGGTGACTTCCATCTGTCTGTCTATAATCAGACATCATTTTGCGACTCCATTCTTCTCCCATGTCTACTTCTCAATCGGATTACTTTACCCCGTCTCATTTTACACCATGAGCAGTGTTGCGAGTAAATATCGGCGTATTATGGAATGGTTTGAACTTCGACCCTCAACGACATCAGGTCTGTCTTTCATGTCATTGTGTCCAAATGTTGAGGGAAAAAATGATAAAGAACCGAAAGCAAATGACCTGCAAGGACACAAAGAGGGCTTCCTTCCAAAAAGTGGGCATTACGAAACTTGACTTTTGTCAAAGTCAATCAGCTGCAGCTCATGAAATCGGACGGGGTCTTTACAGCAACATCAAAAATTGTTACAAGACGTAAACGAGTTAATAGTATCCCATTAAAGAAACTATTGTATCAATCAAAGTTCTTTCTCAGATTAAGCTAATTCAGTTATTTAATGTATCAGTTTAGCTGATTTTTCACCTAGCAAGTCTAGTCATACAATCAATTTGTAAGTTAAAATATTAAGTAAAAAAGTCTGAACTCGACACTTAGTCAGAGGCACTTATATAATCGTCATGGATTTGGCAAATTTCAGTAATTCACGATCTTTAGACGAGCAATCAATACTGTGTAATTTCGATTACTCTTAGCACAGGAATTGTATGATAACTTTAGTGAAATTGACTACGTACTATCGGGATAGTAGCTTAGGGCGGTAAATTAATATGGGCTTTTGAAAACTTCAGTTATTTACGATCTTTAGACGAGCAATGAATAATGTGTAATTTTGATTACTCTTAGCACATGAATTGTATGATAAATTCTAGTGAAATTGACTAAGTACTGCCGGGATAGTAGCTAGGGCGGTAAATTAATATATTCGTATCACAGGTTAATTAAGAAAGTACTATCATACTCTACATCAGGCCCAGATTATTCGTGAATTTGGCTCCAATAGCGAAGCAATCGATCTTCATTCATCAAGTAACCTACTTTCCAATAAGGTCTAGATCGCGATACTGTGAAACCATGTATTTGTGATAATGTATAGACTTCATCGTTGTTGAGCTGTGACCTTGGTGTTGATGCCTGTAAGCCTTTTCTAAGCTGCTGAGTGAAACATAGCACTGCTCGCTCACATTATTTTTCCTTTAACCTCTGCCTGCCTACTGTGGTATTATGGGCATTGTGGCTGAGGTGAAATTAAGCGCCATACTTCGATTGGTACTGCATGGCACAGATCAGATAGTTGATGCCAATGAGACCTCCTCCAATGACTGGTGGAGAGACAATTATTCGCAGGATAAAGTAATGTGGAGCGCTTGACAGTAGATGTATTCCTCTTCGTCTACGATACTTATTACGGCCTCGTTTTTATGATGTCGACTCTGAATAAGTTACTGCCCTCAAATTATAAGCATCCCGAAGTTTTGCATTCTCGGACAGCTCATTACAGATTAATGGAACCCATTCAGCCAATGTGGTGAAGCCATCAGGGCCTAGGTTGTCTGATCAGTCTTGGCATGTCAAAAATATTTGATACGATTTTAACTTGCGGTTGATTAAAGTCGAAACATCTTATCCTCAGCAGGCTATTGGGATATTGCAATTATACCTCCGTAGACCACAACACTCAGGTACTTTCAGTGCTCAACGCTTTAGCAACAGCCGTCGAGTAGAGTGTATTTTAATGTCAACTTAAATATGCTTAATCTTTTCGCAATACTCAATTTCCTCTGAGGCCAGATTTCTGGAGACAATCCTCTGAGCCATCCCATAGCATCAGTGGTTCTTTGCGTTATTTCTTATATGGAGAATGTCGCCTATCTATAACAAGTATATATATGCTGCTACCGAGCTTCGGGAATTGGCTGTTGTACAAAAAGATTTTTCAAACCAATTCATCTAGCAAACCACAAATCATTTAGTGTGATACATGATACCCATAGCCTTTGAGAGAGAATTGGCTATTATTGAGTGTTCAGCGAATTTTCATTCCC